CAACAACTTGCTCAATAATTGAAGAAAAACTAGTTTGAATCAATTCTCATTCATAAGGGATATTAATATAAACATGAAAAAAACCCATAAAGAACACCAACCATTTTTGGAATTTTTGAAATTAAAACAAACAAACAAACAAAAATGTAAGAATTGAATAAAAAAACAAACTTTTACATAGAATTGGAGGAAAAAAAAATAAAAATTGACAAATAAAGGTTACCCATTCTTGAAGAAGATGAACAAACTGAGTAAATTGGAGCTGTGATGGAACAGCCTAACCTCTGCCCGGAGCTACTGCCGACCGCTCGCCGGAGATGATGCCGCCGCCGGTTCGCGTCTGCCGGCCGTCCGCCGCCGCGCCAGAGATGTCCGCCGAAACCCGCCGTAGCAGCGGCTTGGCCGCTGCTTTATTCTCGTGTGTTTCCCCCTCTATTCTTGAGTTGATGTTGCTCTAATTTATAGCAAGAAGGAGTAATTTACCGTTGAATTACTTCCCGTTGAGAATTGAATGTCGCGAATTTGATGGAGCCGAACGTTGGAGGAGTTATGCGCGCTGCAATCTACGAAGAGGAAGAACCCCTGCTCTTTGACTTCTTTTTTTTCCTTGCGTGAAAGTAAAAAAAGTAAAGTGGAGGGAGGTAAGGTTTTGGGCTGATTCTTTAATGTTGGGTTTGGGCTCTGACCCAAAATCGTTCTCCTTTTTCCAAAATTGAGCTGCACTTTGACCTTTTGCTATACTTTTCTCCAAAAATAAGATACTCGCTCCGTCCTAAAACTTTCTATCCACTTTCCCTTTTTCTCTGTCCTAAAATTACCTTCCCATTAGAAAAAAAAATGACAAATGACATTAATACCCTCATGTATTTACACCAATTATCTTCTAACTCTATATTTTGAATGATTGTAAAAAAAAATTTCAAAAAATCTTTTTTAAGGAGGGTAAAATTTGAAGTCAAAGCCAAAAATTAAAAATGGGGAAAAGTCAAACTGGGAAGAAAGAATTAGGACGGAGGGAGTATATGATAATTTGGGTTAGGAAGAATAAAATAAAAATAAAAGAATGTAAAAAAATGATTAAAATCTAATATTTTTAAAAGAAAATAAAAAGATTGTAAAAAATAAGAATTAAAATAAAACTAAGCTAAACAACTAAAAAATAAATACTAAAATTATTAAAAATACCTAAAAAAGAATAAAAAGAACTAACCGAAAAACGACTTATCAAATACCCCCACACTTAAGACTTGAACGTCCTCGTTCAAAAGACCAAGGAGAAACCATTTCCATTTCAATTATCATCAAGAAAAACAAAATGCACCTTACACCCCCACACTTAAGACTTTATGCCCATTCACATTTTATAAACAAAGTGAGCTAGAAACTTTACAAGGATGGAAAACTAAGGTGTGGATTTTTTGGGTTCTAACAAATGCTCTAAAGCTGCTACAAAAAAGTTTTCTAGCGGAATCCTATGATTTAGAATGGCTCAATAGCAGCGGTAGCAAGGTTCATCAATACGCCTAAAAAGCTCCTAAAACTGGTTTCTCTCTATTTTTTTTTCAAATTTTAATATCAAGTAATGGTTAATTAGGCAGCATCTAGATAGTATGTGGATGACCAGTTCTAGAAAATAAAAATCTACGGGATTCCTAGAAGGATTTCAAACATTTTAAGGTCATTTTTACCAAGAAAAGAGCATAAGACGCAAAGGTGGGGTTGTAAAAGAAACATTTGTCAACTTTCAGAATAAAGCTCAAGAAAAAACAATGAGGTTTTTGGGTCAATTTAAAAACAATGCTCTAAACGAGGAGATATTCAACAAAGAATGACAAAATATTTGGACCCAAAACTTAGAGAGAAAAAAAAATTGCCAAAAAAATATTCTCCCCAAACAACGGAATAAACATGAGAACTCCCCCCACACTTAAATTGTGCATAGTCCCCAATGCATCTATATGGTATGCAAATGGCAATAATAAGCAAGCACGGAGTTAGCAAAGAGAGGAGGGGAAAGGGAAATGCAACTAAAAAACAAAGTATACGCAGCATCAACTCATCACTTTTCCCTCCTTAAAGTGCTCGATGGACCTAAAATCTGCAAAACATGACTAAGGCCAAGTTTTTTTAGCTTTGAAGAGATAAAAATCAGATTTAAAGAAATGCAGATCTCAAGCTTCAAGTCAGGTTCTGGAAACAAATTCTTGTGCCTTATTGCACTTTCAAAGCAGAATACTGTATATGAGAAGGTAAAGTCATATCAAGCACATGCAAAGCAGCTCATATACATCTAAAAACATCATAATTCAGCACATATGCATCTGATGAACTCAAAATCAGATTGAACACCAAGAAAAGATTGCAGATTTTTTTCTATTTCAGCACCTATAAGCTGTAAAAAGTGTAAAATTTGCATTTTGCACTCAAAAAATCAGCTTACAAGTCCAAAAATAGCTTTTCAAAGTGCAGAATTTTTCATTAGTATCCAAAAATCAGCTGTAAACAATGCATATATCTCAACTTTCAGCTTAAATATGACCATATAATAGGACCCAAGCCTTAAGGAACTGAAAACTCACAACAAAGCAACCTTTAGGTGTTTGAAACTGCTGTTTTGGATCAGATTTCACACCTGTTCGAGCAGATTTTTACTCCTAAGGGCATGCTTCTACCTATGATTTAATAAACATAAAACACATACTAAAAATATAGTATAAAGAACTTATATTTATAACTTATAAACAAGTACTTATACTATACACTTATTAAATAAAACTTATACTTATATAACACAAGAGGGAGGGGGGGGTTGAATGAAAAGTAAATATTTTTGGTTTTTATGTATTTTCTTGTTTTTTTGGTTTTTTTGATAAAATGGGGGAAAACAAGCTCAAAAGATAAACAACTTCTCCAACCTAGGTAACCCGAAGAAACACCGCCAAGAACCCAAGACAAAATGAAAAAAGAGAACAAACACGAGTTGAACATTACACGTATAATAGGCACGTAGACAATATATTACGTACCTTACGCACTTAAGAATAAAAAACAAATCAAAGGCTGAGTCGATTCATTTCCTTAACCACGATATGGAGGATTGTCAACTCTCCACACGGCCCGGATTCATGCAATTCAAAGGCCCGTTTTGAAATATACCTTAGAACCCCAACTCTCTATTCAAGCATGAGAACATACTTCCACTATAAAAAAAAGTTTATAAAAGAGAGAATCTATTATGCATTCAACTCTCATACATAATCTATTCACCAACCGCCAATACCTTATGTATTTTAACAAACTTTTTCTCCTAATGATGAGCACATTTCACAGATTTCCATGAACTTCTCAAACCAATGACGTTTTTTCTATTCACGTAGAAGAACACAACGTATTTCCAATAAATCAAGAATTGTTTATGAGCTTAAACAACCTCAAATTAATGAAAATAACAAACGAACACACGAAAAAATACACAATCACTCAATAACGAATTCTAAGAAAAATGAATCATCTTATGGGGCTAAGAAGTCCAAAATTCTTAAAATCAACTAATACAAGCACAAANAGTTCATTTAACTACCTTATGGAGCTAAAATAGGTTCAACAAAAACCGAATTCCACATACTAGCCTACTTATGAAATCGAATTATGCAATTCAACAAATTCAACAACTTGCTCAATAATTGAAGAAAAACTAGTTTGAATCAATTCTCATTCATAAGGGATATTAATATAAACATGAAAAAAACCCATAAAGAACACCAACCATTTTTGGAATTTTTGAAATTAAAACAAACAAACAAACAAAAATGTAAGAATTGAATAAAAAAACAAACTTTTACATAGAATTGGAGGAAAAAAATAAAAATTGACAAATAAAGGTTACCCATTGTTGAAGAAGATGAACAAACTGAGTAAACTGGAGCTGTGATGGAACAGCCTAACCTCTGCCCGGAGCTACTGCCGACCGCTCGCCGGAGATGATGCCGCCGCCGGTTCGCGTCTGCCGGCCGTCCGCCGCCGCGCCAGAGATGTCCGCCGGAACCCGCCGTAGCAGCTGCTTGGCCGCTGCTTTATTCTCGTTTGTTTCCCCCTCTGTTCTTGAATTGATGTTGCTCTAATTTATAGCAAGAAGGAGTAATTTACCGTTGAATTACTTCCCGTTGAGAATTGAATGTCGAGAATTTGATGGAGCCGAACGTTGGAGGAGTTATGCGCGCTGCAATCTACAAAGAGGAAGAACCCCTGCTCTTTGACTTCTTTTTTTTCCTTGCGTGAAAGTAAAAAAAGTAAAGTGGAGGGAGGTAAGGTTTTGGGCTGATTCTTTAATGTTGGGTTTGGGCTCTGACCCAAAATCGTTCTCCTTTTTCCAAAATTGAGCTGCACTTTGACTTTTTGCTATACTTTTCTCCAAAAATAAAATATCTGATAATTTGGGTTAGAAAAAATAAAATAAAAATAAAAGAATGTAAAAAAATGATTAAAATCTACTACCTCCGTTCCATTGTCTTTGTCCAGTTTTGACTTTTGGAACTGTTCATCTAAGCACTTTGACTCATCAAATTCTCTCAATGTGTAAGCCTAAAAATAGTCATGTGTAATCTTGTTTGATTCGTCTTAACATATAGATTATTAATATATAATTTTTATAATTTTTTAATATAAAAATTACAAGATAAAATGGATTAAAGAAGTGCATTGGATGGTATGCCAAAAGGTAAGTGGACAAAGACAGTGGGACGGAGGGAGTACTATTTTTAAAAGAAAATAAAAAGATTGTAAAAAATAAGAATTAAAATAAAACTAAGCTAAACAACTAAAAATAAATACTAAAATTATTAAAAATACCTAAAAAAGAATAAAAAGAACTAACCCAAAAAAGACTTATCAAGTATCATGCAACTTGAACAATTCAAGTATGATATGGGAACAAATGACTAATTTAGTTGGCTCAATGGGCAATTATGGTGTCCTTTTATTTATGTAAATATTAATTATTTGATGATATTAATATTTTTAATGTATGATTTTAGATATTACTCGATGTATTGTAATTTTTGGAATTTATTTTTGTTTTAGGATTAATATTTTATAATTGAAACAAATTTTAATTATTAAAAATAGGTGCCTTTGATTTAGAGAGACAATACAAAATAACCATAGTTGGATAAACAATTAGACCACTCTTCAACTTGATAGTTTGAATCGTATATGGACAACTACACAAACCTGTAGTCTTAATAATTGTTAGACATCCAGAAAACATAATTGTTTGTAATGAAACAAAATAGTCTTATACGTTCTACATATACCATAGAAAATAACAGTTGTTTGCATATTATTTAAACAAAATCATAGTGTTAATAATGGTTATACAACAAAAACAGACAGTTGTTTAAAATAAGACCAAAGTAGTAGTCTTAATTTGTACATACAACACAAAATAACAGTTGTTTAATGAAAATATTTGTAGTGGTCTTCCGAGCAACTGTTTGATAATCAATTACACTACTATTCAAAAATATAGTTTGAATATTTTAAGGACAACTACAAAAAAGCGTAGTGTTATTGCGCACTATACAATTGAAAGAAACGGTTGTTTAACATCCAACAAAATTAGTAGTCTATATTTTAGAAATATAACACTAGATAATAGTTGTCTAATACTACTTTTGTTTAGTAGTCTTCCGAGCAGCAGTCTGATATATCTTTCAACTACTTTAGAAATTTGATATTTATATTTTTGACCGTCA